TCGGCCCCGGCCTCGGATCGCCACCCGGCGAATGCTTCGCGTCGCGGCGCGCCGAGTTCGGCGCCGCCCAGCGCCTCCCCACCTACCTTACCACACTCGACCACGGCGTCGACATCGAGTTCATCGGTGGGGGGCTCGGACTGGCCAACTTGATGTCCGACGCAACTCCAGGGCGGGTGAAAACTTCGACTTGGTTAACGGCTGTGACCTCAACGACGAATGCTTACAACGTGCAGTGGGGAGGTGCGTGCGACGGCGCCGACCTCTAGTGGCCATCGTGGCCCTCGGGTGCTGGCCGTGTTGTCGTTGGGCTACGTGCGTGCTCGATTACGACGCGCGGCTGCGCTCCTTCCATGTCGCGGATCCATGCGGGCGGCTGTGCGGCCGCAGGGGGCGACTACAGTTGGAGTTCGGCAGCTACCTCATCGACGAACAGCCCGACCAGTCGCGGCTGTGCCACGCGCCGCCGTGGCCAGACGTCCTTGCGGCACCTGGTGTGGACGAGGTCGTCTTGGATCAGTATATTCTCGGACTCCGTGGTCGGCGTGGTGGCATCTTGAGGACACCGCGGGTTTTGTGGCCGACGCCCCGGAGATCGACGAGCAGTTGGGCAGTTTCGAGTGCCCGAACAAGCATCATCGCACCAAGGCCGAGGGCCACAACATTTTCAACGCTTAGATCTGACCCCGGAAATCTGCTGGGCGACTTTGCAAGCTATCGTGAATTTACGTCGCCGCCTTAGGCGCTCGCGTGAGACGAACTACGTTCGCGAGTGCGACGTCGCCGAGGCAGCCTTTCCAGCAGCGGCGTCTGGAGCCACAGAGGGTCGGATCTGGAGTGAGATGGCCGCCAGACGAGCTCGCGCGCTATGCGTGCGAGGCGTGCAAGCGCAACGTGTGGGCAGACTCGCCCATGGACTTCAGGTGTCCCAACGGGTGCCGATGGCTTAACAGTGCTCCTATCTACGGGCAGTGCCCAGGCTGTCACGAGGAGAAGGAACGCGATCGTCCTGCGCGCGCGCGAGTCCAGCAAAGGCAGGTTCGTGGACCCTCACAACAGGCCGCGCCCGCGAGCCGGCCAACGCTCGCGAGTGCCCGGAGGGCCGCGTCGCCTCAGCGACCAGACCAGCAGGCGCAGCCACTTGGAACCGACTTGGGGGCAGCTGACGGAGCCGCTCTGCAACCGCAACCACAGCCGTTCAGCAAGCTCGACTACCTGGCAGTGCTGACTTGGGAGCGGCGAGCGAGCTTGGAAATGGGAACATGTCGCATCCCTACGGGTGCCTTCAGGTGCGCCAGGAGCCAGCTCGTCCTTCCGCGCTGGGGCTCAGAGCAGCGGTTCCGGCGACTGTGTTGCCGGGCCGCAGACTTCTGGTTTGGGCGACTGCGTCGCCGGGGCTGGAGTGCGAGCCGGCCCATTTACAGGGATCGTGCCGAGACGAACAGCGCGACGAGCCACCGGCGCGTCGGTTGGTAATCCGACTCGCTCCGACTGGACTCGCTTCGACGTCACCCCATCAGTGCGTGCGCTATGTGGAGACTCGCATGAGACGCGCATGCGAGAGCTGCGCAAGCTGCGCACCCCGTTCGGGCACGCCATTAAGGAGGAAATGACGCGAGCACTACGCGCAGCCAGTATTTCCAGAATATGCTCGAACTCATACCCGCAGTGGTCAATGATTAGGCAATGCCGCAAGTGGCAATATTGAGCACACTAAACGACACATACATTCCGACTCTCAACACGACTCAACCAGCACGTTGAGTGCGACATCTTTTTCGACGAGGACCGCGTGATCATACATCTGCTACGCCTCGCGTTGGCATTGAGGCCAGGAGATCGATTCCAACCGCGATGCGACGCTGCTTGCAGCCATCGACGGACGATTGATATAATTTTCCAGTGCGATGGAGACGTTTCTCGTGGACGGAGAGGGCGGCGTAACCTCTACCTACTTCGTGGAGGAGATGAAGAGACGAGGGGTCCAAGTGGATATCCGTGCCCAGCGACAGCACGCTCGCTCCGTCGGGCGACGCGGGGCTATGCTACGCCATGCGTTTCGCGCGACAGAGGAGCAGCTGGAGCGAGAAGGTCTTGTGGTCAACTTCGATTCTATGCTCGATCGCGCCGAATTTGCAGGCATCGGCCTCGCCCTCGTTGGCGGCGTCGCGCCGTGCAACGCCCTCTTCGGGAGGCAGCCAGCTATGCTGCCACCGCTTGAAGCAGACGAATCGGGTGAGGTGTCTGGCGACAATGTTGCCCGCGCCGATCCCGCTGCTGGTGGGGAAGTGCCGGCCGATGGCGCTGGTGAGTCAGAGAGATCGCACTGCAGAGCATGATTGAGGCTGCGTCCATCTCCCGCGTCAGCCGCGCCCTCCGGACACGCGCCATCGAGTCCGGAGAGGGCCGCTTCCACGTTGGCGACCAGGTTGGGATCCACAGGCCTCCGAGCACAAAGGGAGTATCCGGGTGGGCGGGCCCTGGGACTGTCATATCTGTCGATCTGGCCTGAGGCAAGCTAATGGTCAAGTACCGCCAAGCCGACGTGATCTGCAGACTGCAGGACGTCTGAGCCTTCGCCGGTGCCGTCTGTGGGAACTAGCCTGGCTAGATTCGGCAGCCTGGCCTGGGGCCGAGTGGAGGATTTTATCGGGCAAATCATGCCAGGGTCCAGCACCGGGACCTTCGGCCACTGGGAGGATGCAGCGGGCGTGCAGATGACCGCGCAGACGCGGCAACGCCCCGACCTCCTCGAAGCTCTACGCCGCGTGTCTCGAGACGCAACGCCAGCGTCAGGCCATCTACGCGCAGCGCCGTCACTACCAGCGCGGTGCTGCCCTGGGCGACTACGCCGCGCCAAAAGAGGGAGACGTGCGAAGAAGACGCGTCGAGTTGCATCTCGACCCAGGGGTCAAGGCACGCGCTGCCTTTCCTCCCGCGGAATGCGCTGGCCAGATCTGCGCGCGCAGTGACGGGTCCTTCAAGAGGGAGGAGGAGACGGGGTTACAGCGCGATTGGCGCCCTCTGCATGCGCTTCGGCAAGTGTCGCAGTGCTGGCAAAAAAGGTCTTCCACTTGATCGACGCCGCGAGCCGATCCTACAATCTTGTGTGTAGGTCTTCATTCGGCTCCTGGCTGCTCGCAGTGCGCGGCTTTGCTGATGGGTTGCAGGCCAATCCCCTCGCGCTCCACGAGATGATCTGGGGCCCAGTCTCAGCCGAGGAGATCAGGGAGCTGAGAAAAGAGAGAGGCTACGGCATTCTGGCGACCCTGGTCGTGGACGGGATGTCCATCTTCGCGGCCATCGCCATGGATCTTGTGCGTCCACCTTCAGAGCACAGCATGGCAGGTCACCTGCCGTGGCTCTCCGACCAGCTCCGTGCCGAGCAGATCACCGACATGCTCTGGTGCGATGCCCGCGACATGAGTGCCGACCCTATGACCAGAGGGAGTATCGGCCGGGAACTGATCTTGGACGTGATGTGCGGGAATTCAAGTACGGTTGCGCCGTGGTCAGACTGAGCGACAAGAGGCGCAAGAAGACCGTGCCCAGTTTCCGCCACAGCGACCTCGGGACAGATGAGAAGAACGTTTCGCCGATGGGATGAGCAGCCACAAATTTCACTGCATGTATTTCTGTTGCGCCACGTTACATCAGCGGCCGTGTGTCGCGAAGTAATTTCGCGAATGTCACTTAGGGAGAGGCAGAGACAGCCGCATAGCGTGAACTGTGTTCGCGAATGCGATGTAGCAGGACATACGGGATAACACCTGCATCAGGCAAAGTGTGTTCGCAAATGCGACTCGCGAGTCGTGCAGCGAGGGGGTGTTTCTGCGATTCCTGTTCGTGGGGCAAAGTTCTTTGTCGTACAGCACGCTTCGTTAAGCATCTTACTGTGCTCCTCCAGTTGGCTGCCCCCCCGTTCCTCCTGAATTTCATGAGGGGCCTGGTCACTAGAGGGCCCTGATCAAAGTCACCGCCTGTTTTCTGGTGAGGTGGTTTCTTAACCTGCTTCGGCCAGTCACATGGACAATGTCAGGAGTAACTCGACCCTCCCACGGGCGCCGTAAAAAAAAAAAAAACCCAAACAAATGCGTAGTGGGCCGATGTGCCTTGGGGTGGAATGACGTGCGTCATTTACGGGACCTGCCGAAACATGTGGGCGCGCCCTTTCGCGAATCTTCGTTCGTTGCGGCACGGTTCGCGCGCGTGTTGTAGCCGACGGGGCACAGGCAGATGCGCTTAAGCACCAGATTCGAACGGTAGGTCCCTGTTTGTATTTGCTTTGTGCCGTGTCTAACATGATCCTTTTTGCCATGGCCGTTTTGTTCGGGTGCGCGGAATGGATCCCTTGTTCGTGCCCGTGTTAGACCCGCGTTCGGCATCTTACCGTGTTCGGTATTGCAATAATGCAAGTTTACCTCACAGTCCGTTGTCGTAATCAAGGTTGCGTCGGGTCCTCCTCGCTCCTCCTCCTCCTCTCCTCCTCCTCCCTCCTCTCCTCCTCCCTCCTCCTCCTCCTCCTCCTCCTCCTCCTCCTCCTCCCCTCCCTCCTCCTCCCTCCTCCCTCTCCTCCTCTCTCCTCCCTCCTCCTCCCTCCTCCTCCTCCCTCTCCTCCCTCCTCCTCCTCCTCCTCCTCCTCCTCCTCCTCTCCTCCCTCCTCCTCCTCCTCCCTCTCCTCCTCCTCCTCCTCCTCCTCCTCCTCCTCCTCCTCCTCCCTCCTCCTCTCTCCTCTCCTCTCCTCCTCCTCCTCCTCCTCCCTCTCCTCCTCCTCCTCCTCCTCCTCCTCCTCCTCCTCCTCCTCCTCCTCTCCCTCCTCCTCCTCCTCTCCTCCTCCTCCTCCTCCTCCTCCTCCTCCTCCTCCTCCCTCCTCTCCTCCTCCTCTCCTCCTCCTCCTCCTCCTCTCCCCCTCCTCCCCCCCCCTCCTCCTCCTTCTCCTCCTCCTCCTCCTCCTCCTCCTCCTCCTCCTCCTCCTCCTCCCAGTTCTGGTCCTTTTTGAGGTGGCCCTCCTCCTGGTTCGCTTCGGGGCCAGCGCCGTCGCGGAGGACGACGAGGGCAACGCGCCGAACACCAGCGAGGGCAGGGCCGTGTGGGACAGGTCGGCCGCTCGCTAGAGGGACCCTTCGCAGGAGTGGCCTTGTAGGTGCAGGCACACAGGGGCGCCCTCAGCGCTGGCCGGTGCGCCTGGATCTGGCCCCTGGCCGCATGAGTTGATGCAGAAAAAGCGCTTGGGGCATTTTTTGTGTTTATGGTGTTGGTTGCAGTTTTCATTTTCAGTTTTCGGCCAACCAGAATAGAACAAAACAACAGCAGCCCAAAACAGAACAATTAAACGGCGGTGCGAATCGGGAAACGGAGCCGAACGCGGCGCGAACCAGAACCCCCAAACGGAGAAATACGGATCCCCAACGGGGGAAAACACGACGAATCCCAACACCAGAAAATCTTCATCCAAAGCGGGGGGAAAACGACGATTTTGAAAACGGCGGAGACAAACGCCCCCCAGCGTGTTTAACATCACCCACGCCCGCGGCCGCCGGGATGCCGCGCACCGAAGGTCCGTCACTCCTGCCTCGGGCCACCTCCTTGCGCGCCGCCGCGAGGGCTGGCCGCGAGCCCACGAGGCTCGACCTGGGCGAGTGGTCGAGGACGTTTGTGGAGAAGCGGCGGGCCTGGTCGTCCAAGGTCTCGCCGTGGCCCGTCGTCAGGACCCTGGGCGCGGCGCTGCCGCACCACGTCCGGGCCCCAGAGCTGAAGCTCACCACCGTCGGCTTCTGCCCGGTGGACGAGGACACCGGGGAGATCATCCAGCTCAAGCGGGGCATCCGGCAGAGGAAGGGCCGCCCGGCGCCCTCGAGCCCCAAGAACTTCCCCAACTGGTATGCCCCTCGCGGCTAGGCCGGCTCGGCCCAGAATCTCACCTCGGGGGGGGGCTGGCTGCCCAGGGGGGGAAGCACCGACCCCCCCCTCGCCCACTCCTCGCCGACCGGTCCTGGGTGCCCCACCCCGCCACCGAGTACCTGCGGCTCTGCCACCCGGGGCCCCTCGCCGGCCCCCAGCCCTGCCGTCGCCCCACGGAAGACGTGTGGGGCTTTTTGAGGTTCGGGGCTTCCTGCCTCCGCGGAGCCGGATCGGCGTCTCGGGCCTCGCTCGGTGGGCCGCGAGAGGCTCCGGGAGAGCCCCAAGAAGTCCCAAGAGAGACCCCCTTTTACAGTGGAGGCCCATGGCAAGAAACACCCTGCGTGCCTCCAGGGTGCCCTGGGTTCCTGGGGTTTCGATAGTTGTGCTATGGAGAGCGTGACCTTCCCGCACCGAAAATCGATGGACGTCCTGGGGTCTCGGGGTTGGGCCTCTCGTGGCCGAGCCCCTGCTGTACAGAGTGCCCCCCCCCTCGAGCCAGTCCCCCCTCTGTCGCTCCCACTCGTAACCCGCTGGGCCCTCCCGGCAGAGGGCAGGGGATCCACGGAGGGGGTCCACGGAGCGGCTCCGGCGGCCGGGAGCCACGGAGCGGTTCCGGCGGCTCTCCCGGGCACGGCGCGCGGGCCCGGCGGGCATCGCGGAGGCGTGCGCGAGCGTGGGCCTCCGCCGCCCGAAGCGCGCGAAAGTGTCTGCCGTCCTCGTCGCTCGCATCTTCGTCGGCCTCGCCCTCGTTCTCGGGAGCCCTTGCGACCACCCCCCCGCCCTGTTGCTCGTGGTGGTGGCTGCGGCCAAGGTCTTGTTCCAGGATGGCCGCAAAGCAGCGCCCCAGGCAATCCCGAGACGCCCGAAAGCGGCTCCTGCTCGGGCCAGCATGCTTGAATATTGTCCTCAGACCAAGACTCTCTCTCGTGGTCTCGAATGACAATCGGAGGCAGGAAAGGCACAATACGATTAATTTCGTCAACGTATCGAGCCAACTTGGGCTGTCTGGGCACTGCTCTGGAGTCAATTGGAGGCCTTCTTCGAGGCATCTGAGGCAATACCATCCTTCCTCGTGGCTTGGAGACGGAAGCGGTCCATCTTGCAGAACATCTAGGGCCATCTGACAACTGAATGGACGCTTCTAGGGCCATCTTGGGCCGTCTTCTTCTCAGGGCTCTTCGGGCCTCCTTGCGGCCTCTCGGATACTTTCGACCCTGTAGGGACTCGTGAAGGAGCCCAAACCGATTCCGACGGAGTTTTCAACACCATTCATACTTACTCATGTCGGAAGCTGCCACGGAGGCGACCTCGGCTTCCAAATGAGCACAGAGTGTGCCGTTTTCGTGCAACCGAAGAGGAATGCGCGTTGGTTCCTGGGGCTAAAGCTTTCCGAACAGCGCTGTGCCCTGAAATCTCGCACGCTTCTTAGCCTGGTAAGCGGGATAACGGGATGACGTGGAGGAGCGTGTTTGCGTTGGTGGAGAAGGGTCGGAAGCGCGTAGCCAGTCATAGAGTTTGTGCGTTCGGGCGTGACATGCATTTTGCTCGCCATCGTATGACCTGACGCTGCGCTCAGTTTTATATAGCTTGCCGAGCTCTGTTGCCAACCATCCTCCATGTTCGGGGCCTTCGCTCCGATGTGAGGCGTTGCCAGAGTGCCGCGTACGGCTCACTCTGGAAGGGTAGACGTGTGAAGCAGCTATTCGCGGCCATGTGTGTTGAGCGATGGGAAGGGAGGGTCCAGATGACCAGAGCGCGAGGCAGCTCGTTTTTGCGGATCCAGTGGGCGGCCAAGGGGATGAGCATGACATGGATCGTAAACAGATGTTGTGCGGCCATCTTCGGACTCAGCGCTCTCATTTGACATCGTTTGTGTGTGTCTCTCTCTCTCTCTCTCTCTCCTCCCGAACTCGCTTCTCTGTTCGTGAACGAATGAGCACTCTTGCTGTTTTTTTGCCTGTGCATGATCACGTACACCTCTGTTTGACGATTGCTGCATTTTTTTATGTTTGTTTGTTCCATGACGCGCGCCGCCTCCCAACTTTTTGCCGTCCTTGATCCACGGCCCCACGAGGTGGTCCAGCCGCTGCTCGTGTCGTCGAGCTCAATCAAGATGGCGACCGAGACGGTGCGGATGATACGCGTAGCTAATGCTTCGTCCGCCGATTTCACCCCACGGTGTGGGCGTCGGGCCCCATGGGCCGTCCCTCTACTCGTGGGTCCCTAGGGGCTGAACATTTGGATGCTCAGATCTGCTGCCGCCCTTTTTATGTTTTTTTGTTGTTTCTTGTTTTTTGTTTTTACAAGTGGTTGACGGAAGCCATTTTCTGCCCCCCAGGTAAGCTAACCAGATGGCCATGGGTCCCTGCCCATCTCCTTTTCCCGTCTCCTCTTTTCCCGTCTTTTCCCACCTCCCTTACCCATTCCTTTATATTTTCACCTTATAATGGCCATCCTCTTCCTGTCTCATTCTTCCTCTCCCTGTCCCCCCATCGAGAGGCCAGATAGAATTTGCCGGTGACGGGGCGCAGGCGTGGAGATGAAGGAGGCAGAGAAAGAGAGAGAGAGAGAGAGACAGACAACATCAGAGAAAGAGAGAGAAACAGAGAGGGGGAGGGAGTGAGAGAGAAAGACATATACATATATATATATATATGTACAAGACTGCAGTGGCGCTTCGCGCCATGCACCTTGGTCCTTGAAAATTGGTATGCAGGCGGAAATGGCAGGACGGTCAAGCGGACAATTTAGCGATAACTCCTTGCTGCCTTTTCTGGTATCGCCATTATTATAATGTTGTTCGTTATCCTACCTCCATGCTTGCTGTTCCTCATTCTCGCCATACCCTGGGCATTCTCCTCATCCTCCTCAGCTCTTTTTGCGGAGGCTCCTCCTTGGAGAGCCTCTTGGGGGCCTCACCAAAGTTCTCAGGCTTTCTTAAAGCCTTCTGGAGGCCTCCTGGGCGTGTTCTGGGGGCCTCTGGGGCTTCCTAAGACCAACCTGCCTCTAACCGCGGTCTCCCTGAACGCCCCGGTCACGATTTGGAATGCTTCGGAGGGTGTCTTGGGGCCATCTTGGGCCGCCATGGGGCTCTCTTAGGGCCATTTTGGACCCCTGTTGAGCCGTTTTGGGGTTCTCTTGGACTGCCTGGAAACCCTTTCGGATGGTTGTTGGGCGCCTCCCAGGCGACTTCGGACGCCCAGAAGACCGCTGTCTTGGAGCGTCGGGAAGCCGAAAAGAGGAGAACCCCAGATTCACCAACAAACCTACATTAAATCAATTAATTTTCCCTCTTGGGGCCTTCTTGGGGGTGCTCTTGGCGGCATCTTGGTGCGTTTTGGAACGATCTTTCGGGGTATGACGTCTTCTTGGAGCGCTCTTGTGCTGTCTTGGGGTTCTCTGGGACGTCTCCGATGACCCCTCTGATCGCCCTAGGTGTGCTGCGAAGGCTTGGCAAAACGCCCTGCGAGGCCCTGGGGGCCGCTTCGAGGCCCGTCCGAAGGGTCCCAAAGCCCCAGATCCCGGGAGTCCGGTTTTGGGGGCGGGGGGAGGGACGGGTTTTCCCCCCGCCCGGGCCTGTCAAAATATAGGAAGAGGAATGTATATCTATAGAGCCGATTCCGAGAGGCCGTTACATCGACTGTGCCAAGGCGGACTCGAGGGTGGGGCGAGCTTTCAAGCAGGAATCTTCTTCTGAGGGTGCCCTGTAGCGCCGGGCTTCGGTGGGGGGCGCGAGGTGATTCGCCGAGGTTCCGCTCCGGGCACGCCCACAGACTGGCGCGGGCAGGTGTTTCGTCATGACTTGCACGTGTACGTGTGTCGTCGGAGTAAGCGGGTGGCGCCACAAGCCAATGCAGCAACAGTTGATGCGGTCCCGCCCGCACTCAACATCAAGGCCAGGCCCATGAACGTCCAAGCCACACAGGTAGGATATGAAGGGACGATCGTAGAACAGGCCATATACCAATGATATTGTCAGAACATTTCGATCCTCTTGCAAATAGCTGCTTACTCGCCGAAACGTATTGATCTACTCATGTCAATGAGGTGGCAACTCCGCCGCGCTTCGGTATACGACCCATGGTGCCAATCGACGTGCCCTCAATCCATATGCCGAATGAACATCTCCAGAATTCTAACAGGAATATCGACGTGAGAGGGATGGATGTTGATCGAGAGCCATCCGCACTCATTGTTCAGAGATCAGCTCTTTTGGTTCATCGTTGAGGGCAGAGTCGCGCCACTCTGCGAGCGAAGCTGCCGGTTCAACCGGTGGTTTAGCTGAAGGTCATGGCATGATGCCAGAAGATCATGCAGGCATACCGGGGGATGGTTCAACCATCTTTCATGTGTCCCGTCGCCCATCATCTAAAGGAGCGAAGCTCGTAGATGTTCTTCAATCACCAGTTGACACGTTGAGTCCTCGGGAGCCAGATAGGGTAGACCACCTGAGGAGCCCCACTGGGGATGCGCTGTTTCCAGAAAGGCCAAAAGGGCGATCCGAAAATAGCGCGAAAGTAGTTGATTCGCACATGCAGAGTTTTGCTTCAATTGGGGCCCGTGCAGCGGTCTCTCACTATCCCGCCATTGGGCGAGATGACGGGCGGATGGGGAGTTCTTTGATTTGGAGGGCTCTGCCAGTCAAGCTCAAGATGCGGAAAAGTGGATGACAGACGTGGATATTTTGCTCCCTCCTCCGAGACCCCGGCCCCCGCGAGACATGCTAAGCTCGGATCGCCTACGATAGGTGGCGCCGGGCCGAGCAGCAGCCGCGGATCTAATGGCTTTTCCGGGCAATCTTCGTCTAGTAGGCTTTCAATGTTAGTCTCTCGCTGGGCCCATGGGCCCAAATGTCCGGCGTCGGCGGAGAAAGTTGCCCAGGATCGCTGCCGCTGCATCATGATTATGGCATGGCAAGGAAAACAAGAAACATCCGCTGCGAGAAAAGGGTTCCTCAGCGAGCAGATGGCTGCTTGCGTGAGGACTCGCGTGGAAACGTTCGGTCGCGAAAAGGAGCGATTGATGTTGGTGGCTCAGAACGACCACCTGGATCAACGAGCGACCCCGGGGCCAAATCAGAAAATGACGGGTGCAGCGCGAATTAGAAAGGGCCCGAGTTGCTGCATCTATTTCCAAGCAGAGACTGGTGGTGACATTCCTTCATGAAAAGACGGTTCAGGCTGCCGACGTCGCGCGGCACGAGGGGGGGGGGCAGGCGCTGCAATCCGACAGGCATCACTTAGGGGGAAGCCGCCGTCGACGAAGCGAGGAACGTCAGGGAAGACATGAGCAAACGGGGGCGTGCACATGACAGTCCTGAGCTTCTCCAAACAGAATTCGCCCAAACCGAACTGAACGGCGTGGGGGGCTGACCGCGCTCCCCCCGCGCAGCGTGGCGTTCCAGTGGGGCCCGACGCGGCTGAGCCGCCTCCGTCTGCGTTTCCCGTTTGCCTGCCCGTGTCCTCCTGCGCCCCCGGTAGCGCCCGATGCAGGGGGGGGCGCTGAAGGCGCACCCAGCCGGTGTTCGGTCAGCGCGCCCTCCTGCGCCACCTCGGCCGCCTCCATCGACTCTGGTAGAACTCCCCGAAGCGCAACAATCTCTTTCGGCCCCCGCGAACGGTTGAACCGACGGCGGATGCCAGTTCGACCGGCGCTGAGGCGCCAGGTCGAGAAATGGCCACGCAGCAGACGAGGATCCGC